GCAGTTGTTTACGAAAAGGGTCCATAAAAGAAAAAGAAATATGGGTTCACAAACAGGAGGTTTTATCACTACAACAGCATCTAGTAAGACGAGAGATGATTCTAGACCAGGGAGATTCAGTGGGGTGTGGTGGGAGAGATGGAAACTAGAGAACTGCTGGTATTTTCTCTCATTGCTATAATAAATGGTACAAACATCTTAATTAGGTTCTAAAGAAAGTTTAGGTGTTCCTGTTGCTTCCATATACACGATGGAAAATGCATCAGGAAAGACAATGCTGAATCACTTATATTTCCTTTTTTCCTAATGAATTTGAAGCACTACAGTCTGCCAAACTACTTGAATAAGCTCCAGAATACAGGTTGGAGTGAAGAAGTCTTACAAAGTCCACAAGGATATGGTATGGCTTAGTGAACTAATACAGAGAACTACATTATGGATCCATTTTAGTGATCTACCGAGAGAATAGAATGGAGATGTAGGAGTTACTCCCTGGCAGGTGTAAGCTTAAATGCACAAAGTAAGAATTCACAACAGAGCAACTTAACCAAACTTTACATTTTTGCACTCAGGAAAAATAAGCAGAAAGTTGTAAAATAGAAATATCTTCAACTCTGTTCAAGGTTTGGGTCTGTTTTCCATGGAAGATTTAAATAAAGGTTTAAATTATCTGTAAATGTCAGTTCAACTTCTCCTTAGTGAGGTTCTCTGAATGTCACTATCAGTTAGCATCGCCTACCATCTTTGAGGATTGTTTCTCGCTCTGTGCCATCAATTTTCTGTCGTCCAATTAGGAAACTGGTAGTATCAGCAAAGTAAATGTAATTGGTTTCGGCATGGAAGTCCAGAGCACGAGGATTGACCAAGTTTTCTATAGGGATCATGTATTCATCAGATACTTTGGTATTCAGGTCCATTCCCCGTATTATTCCTGGGCGTCCTTTCCCATAAAAAAGAAACAATTCATTCTTTGGTCCTGCAAAAGAAAGATTACAAACATAAACAACTGATGCTGCCTAATCTTCTTTACAGTGCATAATGTCAGTGTTTAATTAACTGGCACAATTAGTGGGGGAGCAGATTCAATACCAAAAATTAAACTTTCATATATTCTGAAGGTATCTAAACTCAAGAAATCTAGCTAATTACATTACCTTAATTAAAATACAAATTACTTCAGTGAGCTGCTTACATCTAATTATTTTTTCTTCTGTAAAAGTTCACACTCAAAAGCAATGCTAGATCACAGAACAATTTTGCATCCACTGCAAAATGGTCATATATAGCTTTATAGACATTTAATTTTACAATTCATTAGGATCTATCAGGGTAATGTAGACCATGACTGAAGTAATCATCAAATCTAACAAGACCATAAACTCCAGCAAATACAAGACAGCATTTTTTTTTTTCACCTGAAGTTTCTCAGAAACAAACAAGACAAAAGATTACAGTAAATTTCTTTCAAATGGGAAGGAAAAAATCAAACACACACTGTTCTTTCATACTGAGATACAAAACACGGACACTGATATTTCTTTTCTATGTACTTTTCCTAATGCGTCTCAGTGTGGGTTTTTTGGAATTGTTAGTGAAAACCATACAAAGTTTGACTGAGGTCAAAAATATCCATGTACCAGCATCCATCAAAATATCTAATTGCATGACTTTCATCTGAACTAACTCAAAGCTATTTGGTCAAGAAACCAGGCAAAAATAGGTGTTCCTCAAAACTTTCAGGACTGTCCTGTTGGCTTTAGGTATATACAGATTGTGTACACCTAATGTTAAGTATAAGCATAGCAAGAAACTTGCTTTCATAAAGTGTTTTGAGAAAACCTTTGCTTGACTTATTCACATGAACAGTCTGCTTCTGAGTTTCAGGTTGATTGTATGAGTAGAAATTAGTTGTGACAAACTACTTAACAGCATTTCAGCACCTATGTGCTGTGAGAATGCACAGTATGTAAAAAAGGGTAAGACTGATTAACTGAAAACTGAAAAGATTTTTAGAATTCTTTAAACCGCATCCCAGGTTTAATTTGTCACTTCTATGAACTAAGCCAAATCTAATTATTTTAAGGGAATGAAAGGAGTATATGAACAAAGCGTCGAGTACATGTTGCAAACAAATTTTACCCCAAAGCAGCCCATGTGATTTCTCTCATTATTGATAAGCACGTTAAATAACACCCAGAACTATACCCTGAAATATTAGTGGCTGGCAAACACTTTTATTTAAATAACATACTTTTGCATGACCTGCCATCACTTCCCAAGATGAAGCCAGTCCTGCAGCGACAAGTCCGTGCTTTGTAGTTGCTACTGAGCAGACAGATGTGCGAACATCCCCCCGGCATTCCATATGGGTCCACTTCACATGCATGGCTTCTGACTATGGCGAGTGAAAAACAGCACGATTCAAAGCCATTTAAAGCAAGATAATTATATGCATCAGCATGTAGAAAGTTTAGATAGGAAAAAAAAAAAAAAAAAAAAAGGAATTTGTGTTGCAATAAATCATTCCCCAGAATATAACTAGAAAAGAAGGTGTTTTTTTAAGATGATACCCAAAACAGACAAGTAATCCAAAGGGCCATCTTGCAGCTATCACGTCATACCCATGGCTGTATGCCATCACCCCTTTTTGAGTAAGCTTCTGCACAGCATTTGCCAGGCAGCACTCCTCTGGGATACCTGACACTTTTCCCTTTTTCTATTTGTTGCTCAGGTTCATTTGGTTGGTTCGTTGGTTGGCTTTTTGAGAACAGAGTGAATCCCATGCCAAAGCAGTTTGCTATTCATTTAACTCCATTGGACAGCACCTTTCTGGGGCAGATACCTGGGCAGAAACTAAGGAACAGAACGAGCCTTGTAGTATTTTTCCATATTTGTAGATTGCGACATAAATCGAGCTGCAGAAGCCAAAGAATTCCTTTCCCTTGACTTCATATTTTCAAATGCATAGTTCTAAATTAGCAGACTAATATATGACCTTTTTTTTTTTTAAAACTCTTTAAAGGTAAATCTGATGAGAAAATAAAATCTCTCTTGCTATCCTATATTTACTAACCTAGCTTACAACAGGCCAATAGTATTTTAGCTCAAAAAATGATTTTCCTTCTCCTTCCCCTCAAGCTTTTTAGGTTGGGTTTTCTTGTTTTTTTTTTTTTCAAAAAGTAATCAAGTGGTTTAAGGTTGATATTGTTAAAGGTATACAGAAACTCTACGAAGCTGACACAGTCTTTACAGTGAATCTTGACAAGCAACAAACATGCCCATTTAAAACAAAAGAAGTAGCAGAGTGAACAAAGGGCAAGAGGAACAGAGTAATCACAGGATGTAATAAAAGATTACACTGTGCTCATGTCTCTCTCCTACTCAACCCCTCTGACTCCCTCAGGGGTACAAAGGAGAGGCCTACAGCAAGGAAAGAGTCTTTGCAGCCTCCTTCACACACTGACATCTGCAAATCAATGCCCTCAGCTATAAGGTGAAAATTAGTTTGCCCAGTCTACATCAATTTAGAGTTTGTTCCCACTTCAGAAACTTCTCTAAAAGCAGTCAGTCTGTTTAATAACATCAATGTTGATCACCAGAATTGATGCGCTAGCTTTTCTGTCCAAGCAGTCATGGCAAGGATTTATTGCTATAAATCATATAAAAAAATTCCCATGAAGTTTCGCTATAGACATTTTGGATCTTGCTAGCTTTGCACAAAGTTCCCACAAATCACACAGCTGTTCTGAACGCAGAAAGTATGCCATCAGAGCCATGATTAGAGTCATGCAGGACTATGGGCCTCCAAAATTGCTATTTTACCAAAAATTCTGAGAATATAGAAAGTTTTTCATTCTAGATGAAAATGAGGATTTCTTTCACAAAAGGCGAAGATCGTATTTATGCAAACGAAGGAAAATTTAACAGCGATTTCCTATCTCACCAATTGCTGTGGTGGCAGTTAGTCGGGCTAGCTGCCCACATCTCCACGCTTTTTTTGGCAACCCCAAAGACAGGGTGTCTCTTGAGGTTGGCTGTCTGTCTGAAAAGCGGGCCCAGAGAAACCAGGAACCTCTGAGGTCTGAGAGGCAAGCATGTGGACAGCATTGGACATCTAACAATTTTGAAGGTGTTAAATTCTGTAAGCGTTACATGTGTGGAACCAGAAAACTTGCAGACCAGGGCTCTCCAGCAGATATCCAAGGTGAATGCTCTGGAAGAAGTCATGTTAGGAGCTGAGGGACGCAGGAACACCAGCAGTAAGCACATAGAAAACTGGGCAGATGAAGAAGCAACAGAGAGTTTTGCCGCAGTGACAAATTTTCACACTGCATCTTCTGATGTACTTTTCTGGAAGAACCCTTTTAACTACACATCCGACCTAATACCTGGTTTTACGTTTCCTAGCAAGAGGAATGTTGATCTTACCTGCTGTTTGAGTCCTTTTCTGGTATACACGAATCTCTTTAGCATTAGCAAGTCTAGCAAGAGACTGAACATCAGTGCTATTATATCTGTTTACTTGTAAAATGCTGAGGTTATCTGAATTAACTGTATATAAGTAGTTTTCAAATACTGCCAAGCCACAAAGATGCCTAACCTGGGAAAGAAAAAAAAAAAAAACAAAAACAGTATCATTATTTTAGCTGAATATTTTAGGTATTTCTGTGATTTATAAACATCAAACATTACTGTGAATTGTACATGCTAAACTGTACAAAAGGATTTCTGAATATGTTGATAACTACTTGTAAACAAAAACACATACTATGCTCCAAGTATAGTTGACATTCTTGTAGTGTGAAGTTTATAATTAGAAAAGCTTTGTACAACAAAGGTAGAAAATTCCAAATAGAAATTCAATTTATCCTCTGAATTTCCCATTTTCTCTTCCAATTAAAAACTCCTGCATACTTTGTTAAGAGGAACACCTTATATTAGTACTGACTACTAGTAACTAATAACGAAGATAAATTAACTAATATTAACTAGCATTAACTAATAAATATAATAAAATAGATATTTACAACAGTTTATAGGCTGAATTGATGTAATTTTTATTATGTTATAATCAAAGCAAGGCAAATAGTGCAAGATACAACCACTGAATATTTTCTTAAGTAAATAAATGGATAGATAAGCAAATTCCCTCAGCTATGCTTGTGTTCCTTTTCTGTTGGCATTTTTTAATGTGGTTGTGGTCACACGGTGCTGCTTGTTTATGAAAAAGTGAATTCAAATATTGTATTTATCTGTGATGTGTCTGGGTACATTGATTAAACATTACCTAGTCAGTTACCTAAAGTTAGTTAGTGAGTCAGCTCAAACATGCAGTGTTTGATAATCTAGAGGTTGTGCTTGATTTATAGATTTAGAAAATGTAAAATATCTGTCATTGGGCAATTTTGAAAGCTGAAACAAATTAAAGAAGTTGTTGGCAGGTGCTCAGATATTCACAGGCTGAATATTTTATTAGTTTAATCAATAAATTGTTCTCCACAATGTATTTACTTAGCTCATTTATTCACAAATTCAGACATATGTTACAAAAAACCCAAACCAAACCCAAACAAAAAAATCCTGGCATGCATCAAATATTTCAGTCCCTTCTGGAAGTTACCCCCCAGTTGGCCATATCTTGCTATTGTATTCTGCCCTTGCCCAGAAAGAAAAATAAAAAATAATTAAGATCAATGGAAGTGTTCGATTAAGACCCAATAAAAATTCAATCCAATTATAGTAAGATGGAAAAGAAAACATTCTTGAAAATAATGATGCATCTGCACCAAATTGTTGAATTCTCCTCTGCATTATAATCCTTTCTTCCCAACTCCCATTTGCAGTCAGTTTAAAGCTGTATTATTTAGGTCCCATGAGAGTTTTTCCTATATTCACACTATTAAAATTATGTGACTGTTTTTACAATGCATTTTATAGTGACTTAATTATTTGTATTTAATTTATACATTTGTTGTTTTTTACTTCTCATGAAGCTTTCCAGCTGTCTGATGCATGAATAGAAATGTTGCTTGCTACAAAGAACAGTCGTCCAAAAGCCACACAAGCTACCAATCATAAAAGCTAGTATCATTTGGAAAGCATGTCTTTTGATATGCTTGTACTTCTGAAAAAACCCCTTAAATTCCTAAAATTTCTTGAGAATAGTTTGCTGGTCTGCTCATTCTTTGGACTAATGAGGAATAACTGAGACTAATGGTCATTCTAAATCCTGACAAATGCAAGCACAAAATGTAGTGAAATCAGCAATTTTTCAATTCAGTGGAAAAACAACCAATATGTTTCTCCTTTTGTGATAGCAGTGACCAACTGAAAGGGCAAACTTTTTAATAGCTTTCACCCATATTGAAAGAAATAGAAATCCTTCCTCTTTCTTAGATAGTTTAGAGAAGAATCCTTCTGAACTTCATAAAGAATCCTCTTTTGCATCTAACTTTTTTGAAAGAAGAAAAAGAACAAGCATCTCTCCTACGACACCAGTACAACTCAGTTACAAGCCTGTAAGAGTATTTGTTAGTTGCTTCTGAAAACGGCTTTCTTTTTTTAAGTATCTATTCCAAAATGTTAACTGGAAAAAAGAGAATTTACAAGATTTGTTATTCCAGAACAACTGGGTAAACACTGGGAGTAATTTGGTAGAAAACAGGAAGGTGTTTACTATTTAGCCAGGTGCCCTAGACTGTTTTTTGTCACATTTTCTGCCTATTTTTAAATGATAGTTATGCTAACCAGTTGTCTCTTGGTAAACAGCGACTACTTGGAAGCAAAGACAGACAGCAGAACAGGCAAAATGTTTATTCTGTCTGCACTTTTCTACACACTCTGTTTAACCTCGGGCAGAAGCAGATGTACTACTCATGGCACCCACATCAGCTCTGGGAGCCCAAGCAGCAACTATGAACAGGGGTTATTTTTGGTAATTTTCTGTTGATTTCCACAAGCCTCACAACTACCAGGGAATCCTTCCCTTCGCTGCTACCTAGTACTCTGCTTGCCAAGCTGAAGCTACAATAACGGATTGATACACTCCTGCTCACAGGCTCATACAGTCTCAGCATTTGTATTTATGACTGAGCATCTGGATCAACTGGGAAAAGCATCATTGCCATCAACAAAATACGATTTAGGGGTATCTAGAGTGGTCTGAACAAGTGAAATAGCTTTTGCTATTCTGTTTTTTTCACATTCTTCTGCCTGTTAGTCTCTTCTTCCTGAATTGGCAAGGACATCTTCTTGTCATTAATAATTTATCCCCTAGTATCCTTCCATCGCCCCATATTCTCCTTCCTGAAGTATTTTACAATGGGGAGTGTGACTTACACAGTACATTGTTAAAGAGACTCTGCATGGAAACTTGTCCATAGGTTGCAAAATGGGCTAAGTTGCAAATTAAACAAAATGTGCAGATGGATCTTTAAATGTCTAATGCATCTGAACTAAAAAAAAAAAAAAAAAATCTGAAATTACTGTAACTGTTAGCATTACACACATTTATTGATATCATTACTTTTTACTGATTTGCAAATAAATACCTACTTGTCTGCCTTTAATTATCGTATGCCTCTTTCTCCCTTGATAGTCAACAACTTCCACACTATCCAGATATATGTCAACCCAGTACACATATTTATTGACGAGGTCTAGTGCAAGAGCAGTTGGCTGTTCAATTTTAGAGTCTACTATCCACGTCCTGTTCATTCCATCCATGTCACATCTCTCAACTTTGGCAGCATTCCCGTAGTCTGTAAAGAAAAGCTTTCTGTTGAAAGAAAATAAGATGTTGTAAGTGTCAAAGGGTGTGAGCAGAGTGCAAAGCGCCTGGTGGCTCCGTGCAAAGTCAGTTTTTGTTCTTCATCATTTCAGGGGGTTCATCTATCAATAACCCCTATAACCCATATTGATAATCATATAGTTACACAAAACCCCAAACAAACAAAAAAAACCACACCACCATATCTTCTAACAAATTCACAATTACAAAGAATTTTCTTTCAAATGTAATGTACAGAAGTTCTAAATGCACTTTCTTACACCAAAGACACACCACGTATTACTTGTCTCTTAAATGGATGGTATCCATATGCACAGACACTACATTACAATCTTAAATATCTCTTTAAGCAGTATTTATAAAAAAATGGCAAGATAGTTACAAATACCAAAGAGTGGCAAAACCACAAAGCTCTTACACAGTTTGGAGAACAATTCATTACCTACAAGAAATACAACGATCCACACTGTCAGGTGTTTGAAAATATATCTGTAAAGCAGATGCTTTAGACTGTAGTGCATTCGTATCCAGTCTTGGAAGGATGTTCAGGCTTTAAAACGCTTCCACAAATCCAATAAGTCATTGCATCCAAAAATAATGGGAAACTATCAAAGACTTAAAATTGCTACTGAAGTTTCCTAACCCGATACTTGATTAGCATTCACTGGGTTTAGTACACACAAATCAATTTTGATTAACCTGATGATATTTTAACAAGATTACCTATTTGTGAGACTAAATTACACTTGCAAGCTGAAGACCACCTTGCCATGACTTTAACATGATATAAAGAATAATCTGATTCCAGATTGAATGTTACGAAAACTACTTTGAGGATCAAGATTTCATTTTCCAAATAAAGTGAATTATCTCCTAGTTATTACCGCTAATGGGAATAACTTGGATCAACAGCATATAAACCTTGAGATATCTTTATGTTAAAGAGTAGTAATTTACAGCCTTGTAAACTCTCATAGAAATTCAGGATTGTAGCACGTTTTAGGCTGGAAAGAATACATGTTTGCTAAATAACCAAGTGAGACCCACATCCTTTATTATTACCATCTTCAAATAAATAAGAATACATTTTGAATGTACTTAAAGTGTTTCATGTGCAAAATAGGTAAGTTAAAAAAACATTAAAAGTATTGAAGGCATTAGAATTATCCATAGTGTATGTACAGCAGCTGTCAAATGCCAAAATGAATTGATCACAGACTCGTAAAATAGGGCTTGAGGAGAATTTGAAAGGTCATGTAGTCCATCACCAGGCCATAAGGCAGAATAAACTTTACCTATAACATTCCTGAGGGATAACTCCATCCCCGACAGGGATTTCTATTTATCAAAATCATTTTGAATTCCTGCCTTGTCCTTCATTGTAATTCTGTATCCCAGCTGTACTTTAAGAACATCTTAAAAACCACATACTTAACATTCAGGTCCATATAAATCAAAAAGTGCACACTACAGATGATGTGCAAAGTATAAATTATGTCTGCAAAGCAAATGTTTAATTTGGAACAAAAACAGCCAAAGAACTGTATGTGTTTATATATATGTATATACACTTATATATACATATGTATGTATGTATTCCATCAGCAATAACAAGGCCAACACCTATTACATTTAAAATAAGTTGTTAAAATGTTACACGTACTCTAGTCTACAATCTGTACTTCTGGAGATTGGGTTTGGGTTATTTAATGGAACTTTGTATCTCAAGATTCAATAATTCAAATAAAGCTCATTTCGCAATCATAGAAGCAAATGGGTTGTGCTGTGATCAGCCCCCCTCCCCACCACGTGCATATATACGTACACGTACATACACACAGCTACTGCGAAGACCTGAAGCTTGACTTCAGACTGACTTGACTCGGTTGCTTAGCGCACAGTATTCTTATACAAGACTTAACATTTCTATGGGATATCACAAAACAGATTAATACACACGTTAGAAATAATAATTATTTACCTTTTACAATTATATTCTCTTTTCAGATCAGACAAGAAATAAAACATTTAAATGTCAATAAGCAAAATACAGTAAAGAGTATCTAAGATACTTCTCCAGCTTTTGGGGATGGGGGGCATTTCCTTATTTTCTAAATATGTGTTTTATATTAACATCATTTGTGCTTATATAAACATCATTTGTGCTACGGAAACTAGCATGACTTCACGTGTAAATGACATACTTTTCATTTTAAAAATAATTACTCTTCTCCTGGAGACTGACAATAACAAAACTTTATCTTTTAATGTAGAGGCAAAAGACAGAGCAAGAAGTGGTTGCCTAATTGCTGCCATATAATCAAGGCATACTGAAAATTAAACTAAGAAAATTAAATGCTTTACTATGTAATCTTGAAATGCAATTCTGTATTTAAAGACTAATGCAGATTTTTTTAGAATGAGGTGCAATCAAAATTGCATTTATAACACATGAAGCTGACCCACAATTACTCTGTATTTCCTTTGCCTTGGGAGTTCTCAAGGATACATTGTAGCAATATTTATTTCAGCTCAGGACTAATTTTCCTGCTCAAAAATGGTGCTAGATCTGCCTATCCATTTTCAGCAGGGGGTGGTGAAATCTTTTATCAATTCCCCGAGCAATTTAAGCAGGAATACTGACCATGTGCATTGCCCTGTGCAGCCCAAGCACCATGCAGTAGCACTGACCTCGAGGGACCAGCTCTAACAAACAGGGACAGGGAAAGCTGTTTTCATTACAACCTTTATTTCCTGAGACTGCCGATCAGGATGATAATTGAGGTTGCTACAAAATCACAAAAATTTTGGCACTAAATAGAATGTTATTAAGCCATGTTATCTTTTGAATGCTACAGCCTTCATGCACAGAAATTCTGAATATTATCCTAGCTCTTTGAAACTGTACAAATCCCGTGTTCTGCCCATTGTTAGTCAAGAACAGAAAGGGCCATCTTCTTCATCAAGTGCAGGTGCTTTGCAGGCATCCTGTACTGCTCTTTTTTCAAACTTCTTAAACTTATAAAAGTACTTAGTTGTTTTGTCCCAATGTTCCACCCAGATCTCTTACGGAATGGTTTCATTGTTGTTCCAACAGTTAGAAATCAACATTTAATAACTAACAATGATATCTTCAAAGCTAAATGATACCTACTGATTTCTGCAGCACACTTGATTTGGCTTAAACAGTTCTTTTTACCTGTCTTCCCCTACAAAGGTATTTCTAGATGGCAATCAAATTCTTTCACTCTCAACCTAGCAGCTAGAGATAAGCAGAGTCAATCTTTCTCATCTCATAAGACAGGCTCTTCCTGTTGCCCTTCTGTGCAGTTATTCCAATTTTAGGTCATGTTATTGAACAAGCACGGTCAGCACTGGATGCACTGTTCCAGAGAGGAGTTCACCGGTGTCTGTACAATGGCACTGCAACTTCCTCACATCAGCCGGAGATTCAGCCATCACTGGAGGACATTTGCTACTTGCACTGCTCTATTACACTGCTGATTTACAGTCATCCTCTCACCAGCTATTACATATATCCTCCTCCCTCTGCTGATTTCCCAGTTTTGCTGACTTTCTCCAGTCAATGAAATACAATCCTTTTCATAACTTAACAACTTAGTCTTAAAAAGTTATGGTTGGACTTCTTCCAACCAGAGTTTGGTTTCATCTAGGAAAACACTGGAATATTCCCTCCACATCTGAGCAACGAAATCTCTGTAACACGTTAAAATATCCTCAACTGACAAACTCACCGAACTCAAATAGCAATAATATCATGTCACCAAATAAAACTAATTTCAAAGGAGAAGAATGCCATCATGAGACAGAAGTGACAGAACTTCCCAGTCCCTGTTCTCATACCAGTGGTCACAGATTCATCTTTGCTTCATTATCAGGCCCCAACAACATGTAAGGAGGGCTACCAAAGGCTTGCTGTTCTTTCCTGACAAAGACATCTGTCCTCAATAGGAGCTTTCGTTCAGACTCAGATAGTTACTCTTAGTGCAGCTGCCAAACATTATATGCCTCCCTTATCACCGTTGGTTTTGTCCAGCAACTTCTCTCTTGTCACTCCCTTTTGTTTTCCAAGCTTTCAGTCACCGCATTCATAATCCACCTATTTAATTAGCTGAGAAAGAGATATGTTTTCCTTGTAAAGCTACATTTGGGTATTTGGATGGCTGAAAACTCTTAATTTCTGGTGCACCTAAGAAGCTAAATGCTGTATAGGACAATCAGACACTTGGGGGGCAACATTTCACAGTTCTGCAACTCTTTGGCAAAAAACCCACCACCCACGTATGGAACAATATTATAAGGTATCACAAAGTAGTTTTCAATTTTTTCCCAACACATACAACTCTGCTTCACAGTTGAATGTATTTATGTGTCATTATGATTATTTTTTATTCTTTATTTCCCTCAGTCTCTCATAACTCTTGTAATAGGGAGGAGGTAGGCTTGTCACCACATCCAGAAGCTCATCTATTCAGCTGCCAGGCCTCAGACTCTACACTGTTCCCTGTACAACTCACAAGCCAGCGTATTCCTACTTCTTATTGCTCCTTCAATTCCCAGGCTGGCTTTTAAACCTCAAGTGCTCCTTCAGTGGATCTACGGAAGAGGCATGTGCTATCGTACAGTAACCTCAATCCCACACGAGGAGAAGCAAAACGTGGTTTCAGGCATGCCCAAACAGGACAGAGGTGCAGAAAATAAACCATCACACATTTGATAATATGGTGCGGTTTAAAACCAAATTCAAGAGCGGAGGCTAAATGGACTCGTGTACCAAAACATTTTAATTACGGATGTATCCACCCGCCCTGTTCTGCAGGAGGGAAGACATGGTATCCTATGGAGTCACCTAAAGCTCACACGTTAACACTACTGTCAATGAGACCCCACGCACGCCAGCTGCCACACAGCAGTCAAATGGCAACGCCAGGGAAAACACCATCTTTTGTCTCCCCATCTTTTTCTCT